ACGGGACACTTTGAAAGCAATGTTAAGAGGAAAGTCATAGCATTAAGTGTCCACATTAAGAAACTGGAGAATAGTCACACTAAAGAATTAACAGCACAACTGAAAGCTCTAGAAGAAAAAGAAACTCCTTATCCTGGAGAAGTAGAGGTCAGGAAATAATCAAATAATCAAATTGAAGGCTGTAATAAATAAAGTAGAAGCAAAGAAAACAATACAAAGAATCAATGTAACAAAGAGCTGGTTCCTTGAGAAAATCAACAAGATAGAAAAACCTTTATCCAAATTAACCAAAAGGCAGAGAGAGAACATGCAATTAAAAATCAGAAATGAAAAGGGGGTGAGAGGAGGACATTTAGTAGCAGGAAGATTCAGTTGGAGGACGAATAGAGGGGAACAAGAGAAGAGATTCTAAAATAAAGGGAGCCAATTTCGGTTTAAGTAGAAATTTGGCACTAGGGAACTAACAATCTAAGCAATAGTGGGGAGGCTACCTTAAATGTCCTTCCCCTATAATGAGATTGATGACTCCCTTATGTGCCATTCTAGTAGCTGGTGAAAGCAGAAGCAGACACTCACAACTAAACACTGAGCCAAACTTCTGGGATTCATTTGCAGAAAGGGAGGAGTGATGAGCAAAAGGGTCAAGACCAGGTTGGAGAAACCCACAGAATCAGCTGACCTGAACAAGGAGGAGCTCATGGACCCCATTCTGATATCTGAGAAATCAGCATAGGACAGTTCCAGACCCCCTGAATGTGGATGTCAGTTAGAAGGCCTGGGCAGTCTATGGAACTTTTTGATAGCGGATCAGTATTTGTCCCTAATGTAATATCAGACTTTGAATGCCAGCTCCACTAGATGGATACTCTCAGTCTATATACACCGGGGAGGGTCTAAGTCCTGCTCCAAATGATGTGACAGAATTTGAAGATTCCCTCATGGAAGGCCTCATCCTCCATAGGGAGAAAAAAGGAGGATGGACTAGGGGCTTGGTGGGGAGCATGGAAGGAGGGGAGGGAGAGGCAACTGGGATTGACATGTAAAACAAGGTTGTTTCTAACTAATTTCAAAAAGATAGGAAAAAATTAGAGATCTGTGCTATTTCATCACATGGATCCCAGAGACATGGTGGGTTCTTGGTCTCCTCTCCTCAATGTACTTCTCTGAGTTCTGTGAAGACACTAATAGAGACTTGGACTTTCTGTCAATAGAGACTGGAACTCTCATCATTTTTGTCCTTCTGGTGAGAGGGTGAGGTGCTAGAAGAGTGTGGGACAATTACACATAGTCACCAGGTCTACCATGAGCTTGTTCTTCAGGTTATAAAACTCAGAGGACCTGGGTGATGTGAGGAGTTGGTCTCTGAGCAGGCCCTGAGGACTCTTCCCATACCACTGACCCCACAGCATCTTTCTACCATCAGCTGTTTACTCTCCAGGGCCCAGACACTGATCAGAGAAAGGTTAAAGTCAGACATCACTGTTGTCTTCTTTCAGTTTCTGCACCCCATTAGATCCTGTGTATTACAAGGAAGCAGAGAGCATCCTTAGGAAAGATCCTTGTGGCATGTTGTTTCATTCTCCTTAGTAATTGATCCTATGGCTCATAGAGACACATAATTCAGACGGTCCTGTGTTGCCGCTAAGTTTTTGAGCTGTGACTTTGAAACAAACAGAAAATAAGCAAATGAAACATGGCTCTAACCTACCAAAACTGTTTACAAAATCAGATGTCAAAGACGTTTTGGACCAAGAACCAGATTTTGCTAGACACTACCCTAAAACCCTAAATGACATCCTGGAAGTCAAATATGGTCTAAAATGTTTGATGAAGGACATAGTCATTTCTACAACTTAACTTTCTTCCATGCTTTGATTTAGTAAATTAAGATATCTTTTGACCCTCCCAAGCTTTGGCACTATCACTATTGCCTTATGACTGGGATTCTCATTTGTCAACAGAGAATGGAAAAGTTGAGACTGTTCAAGCATTTCCCTGTGTGTTTATCATGAAACAGAGCTGCTACACAGTCTTTGATGTTACAGAAATAACAAAATCCCAGTTTTTTTTCTTTTAAACTGACTAGGCTTCTAAAGTCCATGATCAAACCCAAATATAGGACAGACATTTTGAAATAAGGCAGTGACATCCCTGTCAGTCCTGGATAATCAGTTAAAAGTTCAAATCATTAAGATCTCAAGATACAACACACATGAAGACGAGAGTTTCACGTCTCTATACCAATGCCTTTCATAATGAAAGGGAGATGTGGGTCACTATGTCACTCAGAAGAGTTTGTTTCAGTGTTTTAAAGGGCCTTTCAAAGGTGACTGAGTTGTACTCACAGGTACAGGGAAGTGTTTCACAGATCCTCTGTTGAGTCCTGCATGTGAACCTGCGAACTACCTACCTACAACTGGTAACAAGTCACCATGTGGCATACAGGAAAGTACAATCCAAACCAGCTTTTTCAAATGTTTCACACAGCCATGTAGTAGGACGTGTGTATGTGACCTCATACAGTAAAATTTAGGATTTGACACTGAAACAAGAAACAGCATACTGCAAAACATATTTCTGGTTTTCTCTTTGTATCCCAAAAGGTGTCCTCTTGTTACAGAACATGGAAGCAAAATCATCCTACTTTTAGACTTCAGAAGTTCATTCATGTGAAAACCTTAAATGTATCAATGTTCTACCAAATCCTAATACAATACAAGTAATGCAAAAACAACAGCTGTTTTGTAATTTTTATACAACAATGCCAAGAAAAATAATGTTATGTTTGTTTTCAGTATAATCTTGTTTCTCTCCATGAATATTTTGGATCTGCCATTGGCTGAGTACCAACTTAATATATGTGCACTATTGCTATTATTTTGACCTTTTGTTAAAGATAGCAACATTATGGTTAATGGCTTTATCAAGAGAAACTTTTCATTTCATTCACAGAGTGAAATGATTGCTGTAAACTGTTAAATATGTATTTCAGACAGTCTTAAAGTTCGAGGCTTCTTCATTGGGCACAGTTTCCCCTTCACTCATCTGACACAATGCATTTGCTAGTGAGTTTTGTTCAGTTCATCCCTGATCTCCACTGCTCACTGGTGCAGTAGGTTTCCTTAACTAGTATGAAGAAATTAAGATCAGTTTATTATCCTCCTTGAATGCCTTCTGCAATGCCCAGGGTTCTCTTAGTTTCATACAAGGAAATAATAGTTAAAAGCCAGGGAAGGCAGGATTAAACAACACAAGTCTTTCACTATTTCATAAAAATTTGAAAAATGAATTGAAAGCTCCTGTGGCCTGAATTAAATGCTCCTGAAAATCAAGAACTTTTAAAGCCCCTAACACCCCAGTTTATGGTATCACCAGTACCAAGAAACGAGTAAGAGAGCATATCATTCCCACCCCTAGTGGCGTGTGATCTGTAATTTAGTTTAGAAATTGAACAATTGCAGAGTTTCTGTAAAGAGCTTGGAGAACAAGAGGGCTTGCAGAGACTTCTGCACAAAAATTACAACAAGAGAATGGAAGTCAGATGGGCTGTCAGGGCTGGAGCAACATGCCCACCTGGTGCCCTCATCACTCCAGCCTCACTCTGGACTGCCCTGGTGGCTAGTGTCATCAGTGACCATCCCATATTCCCCCAGACTTCAACCTACTTTTATGTATGAATCTAGGTGCTTCTGGTTAATGTCCTCTTAGCACATCCAGGGGCAGCACATCCAACTTCAGACAGGAAAACACACTCCATTTTGTTCTCAGAGAATAAATTAGGACATCTGTGTTTCCTCAGAAACAAATTCAACCTAAAGCTACCTTTGCGCATCAAGCAGGAATAGCACTGTGATCTCAGGATGTGGAGCTCATTTCTTCCTGTCTCTGCCATCTGCTTGTCTTTAAATCACTCCAGACAAACTGAAGAATTCACACTTGCTTTTATTTTCAGAATTATTAAAGGGTTTTACAAGATTCATATCGAGGATTTAGTGTGTGACTTAAATATGAACATCTTCAGTAATGTATTAACACTGAAAAACCCCATCACACACATGTAATCTAAATCTTTGAAATATGTCTATGAATAAACAAGAGGTTTCTCGTTTAAATTTGTGTCTTATCACCACAGAGATTGGGGCCTCACTATACAATGAACACTTCTTTTTCACATGAACACCACTTTCACGTTGGTTTTTATCATGGATAAAAATCACAAGAGTAGGTGTGGAAGTTATAAACTGTGGAAGACAATTGTAGTTCAGAACTATTCCAAAGCTCAGCTCTGCCAGTTTTGGATCTACTGGAGAAATTAAGAACGCAAAAGCATTTTTTATGGTTTTAAATAAAAGTCCCCAAATTCACCATCCAAAGTGGCTGAATATTTAAAAATAAGCAATGTATTGAACAGGAACTATCTGACTCCTATCGGGCAAGAACTTTGAAGGAGCTTCTAGACCTGGGATTGGAATGTAACTTTATGATAGTAGGATTTTTAATCCATTGCTTTAGAAAAAGAGGAAGAAATGACCATTCATTCATTTGTTCATTTACAGATATTTATTCAGTAGTGCCAATGTCCAGACATTGGCATTTGGATAGTCACTGCATTTCTTGTGCAGGTTATCTTTTCTAAACTTCAAGAGCAGGCAGCAGTAGTAGGCTTTTTTTTATTCCAAAGTGAAGAATAGAAGGGCTTCTTATATGTAGGGTGTGTTGATCAATGTGGTAGATGTCGCCATCCACTGTCACTCTTAGTCTGAAGATAACTCTACCACAACCACATATAGAGTCTAGAAATTGAAGTAGGGGAGCTTAAAACACCCTCAGAAGAGTGAGGGGGGCAATTTTCATCAGGCAATGGGATGTGTGACTGCCAGGTCTTAGATATCCAGCTGTCACTTGAGGAGTAGATGAATGGTCAGAACACAGATTCTTGAGCACCAGCCACTCATACTTAGAAGCCTAAAATAAATTAGCAGCATAAGAGTGCCACTCACCTCCTCCCACTGCAGCTCTGGGACCTTCACTGCTTGGCTCCAGCTCCTCCTGCTTCCTTCCTCCTAAGAATCTCTGCTCCTCCCTGCCTGCACAGTTCTGCCAAGGCACTGGGAAGACTCTCCAGACTCCCATTGGCTCAACTCCCAGGGAGAGGTTGGCAACAAGAGCATAGCAGCAGTGACAGCAATGACTGATGTCCCTCCTCCTTCCCAGACTGCACCAAGAGGAAAATCATGTTCATGGAAGGGATACTTAGGAGAGGCTCCACATGGGCTTCCCTGCCTGCCCCACAGGAAGTTTATTTCAGGGTATGATGTTGCATAACTTCTCCTTCCACTGATGATGGGAAGCAAACCCAACAAACCAGAGAAGCAAATGTTTCTAAAGGCTTTCCTTAACACACACCCAAGCCATATGTACTAGGGCATAGGGAAGACTGCAAGTTAAACCAGCAATGATAGCCAGAAGAACAGAATCCAGGAGGAGATGAATTGAGAAAAGTTAATCCTTTATCTAGGACTAAGACTGGGTGCCTAGGTTTTATCCATTTCCAGTGCAGTCATTAGCTCAAGTACATAAGGTGCTCCTGAAAGATTGAGTGGCTCAAGGCCCTGATAGCAGGATAAGCTTGGAACATCTGGATGACTTTTGCCACTAATAAGTAGCAAATGTGCAGCTCAGAAGAGAGATCAATATTTACACTCATAGCAGAGACCATATATTCTTAGCTAACAATCAGTGCGTATTTCCTAGGAAGAAGACTTTTGATCACAACATGAGAATGTGAGCTATGATGGGATACCAAAACCTTTGGAGCCATATCTGGTTTCAAATTCCAGCCCCTCACCTTGAATCCATGTGCCTTTGGACAAGTAATTTTATGGCCTTACATCTTGCCTTACTTGTTTGAAAAATGTGGGGAGTTTTAGTAACTTTATGGCAGAGGTTTTTATAATTAATATGTAAGGTAATTCATATAGACTAAGTATTTAATGAATGTAGCTATTAGTGTAATAATAGGTTGAGACAGTCTTAGAAACTCCACGATATGTATGTACTCCAACATCTCTTTATATATAAAACACTAGTCTGTGGCTATTTCAAGTCTCATATATTATCATAAGATTATACTGATACATTTATTTATTTATTTAGTGTGTGTATGCATGCATGTGTGAGTGTGTGTGTATGTATGTGTCTGTGTGTGTGTGTGTGTGTGTGTGTGTGATTTGTATGTAGGCTCCTTTATATGCTGGTACCCATAGAAGCTAGAAGAGGAAGTCATATCCTTTGGATCTGAGTTAGTTACAGGAGGTTGTGAGATGATCGACATGGATAGGAATCAAACTCGGAGCATCTGCAAGAGTAGTGTGATTATTTAAAAGATAATGGCCCCCAAAAGAAGTGGCACTACTAGTAGGTGTGGCTTTGTTGGAGTAGACATGGTCTTGTTGGAGGAAATGTGTCACTGTGGAAGTGGGGTTTGAGGTCTCATATGCTCAAACTACCACCCAGTGTCTCAGTTCATTTCCTGTTGGTTGACTTCTGATGAAGATATTGCCAGCACCATGTCCGCCTGCACTCTTCCATGATTCCTGCAGTGATAATAACAGACTAGACATCTGAAACTGTAAGCCACCACCTCAATTCAATGTTTTCCTTTATTAGAGTTAATGTAGTCATGGTGTCTTTTCATGGCAATAGAAATCCTAACAAACAAAAGCAGCAAGTGCTGTTGAATGCTGAACCATCTCCTCAGCCCCTGATTTCTTTATTTCTTGATAATATGTTTCGATCATGTAATTTACTGTTTCCTCACTTATTATACATAATTTTATGCTGTTATCCTAAATCACTTCCATGCCATACTACTTAAAGAACTCTATTGTTCTCAACATATCATAAAAGTCATATAAATCCAGAATTTCAGTTAGATATGAGGAATGAATGAGTGCTGGTGTTCTGTGGCTACACCTAGTAACAAAATGTCATATATTTCAAAATCATAAAACTATAAAATTTTGAATATTTTCATCTCAAAGAAATGATGCGTATTTAAGGCTGTAGAAACACTAACTACTTTATCTGATCATGGCATGTATCAGTGGATCACATCCTACTCAGTAAAAACCTGAAACTTTCAAAGAGCTTGTATAAGATTAAACTTCTTCAAAATAAAATACGCTTTTAAATATGGAGGGCCACTGTACTCCAGATAGTGTCCTATAAGGAAACGTGAATAAGGCAGCCAGTTTCCCTAACAGCTAGCTAAGAATCCTTTAACAAATTCTGGGTACAATGAAAAATCAAGAGACAAACTGAAGCTATTTAATTACTATTTACTATAAAAAACTTTTGAGTATAATTCTTATAGAGTCCTATAAATGAGTTGAAGTTGCACATAAACTATTTTATTGTGGGGATTCAAGACAAGATTGACAAATACAGTCCACCAACTTCACCCTCCTCTCCTTTCTGAGACCGTGGCTGCCATCTACTGATCGAACTGAGAATTGTGACCCATTGCTCAATAGCATCTGCGCAAAACATTTCCAGGGTAATTGTAGCTTCGTAAAAAGTTTGGAAATGGACCTCCTGCTTTTATTGTGTGGAACACTTTTGGGGGTATTGGAATGAGCTCTTCTTTACATTTCTGGTAGAATTCTGCACTAAAGCCATCTGGACCTGGGCTATTTTCGGTTGGGAGACTTTTGATGACTGCTTCTATTTTATTAGGGGTTATAGGTCTGTTTATATTGCTTATCTGCTCTTTATTTAATTTTGGTAAGTGATATCTAACCAGAAAATTGTCCATTTCCTTTAAATTTTTGAATTTTGTGGAGTACAGGTTTTCAAAGTATGACCTGAAGATTCTCTGGATTTCCTCAGTATCCATTGTGATTCTTTGTATTGTTTTCTTTGTTCCGACTTTATTGATTTCAGCCCTCAATTTGATTATTTCCTGGCCTCTACTCCTCCTGGGTGAGTTTGCTTCTTTTTGTTCTAGAGCTTTCCATTTTGCTGTTAATTCTCTACTGTGACTATTCTCCAGTTTTTTAACATGTGCACTTAGTTCTATGAACTTTCCTCTTAGTACTACTTTCAAAGTGTCCCATACATTTGGATATGTTGTATCTTAATTTTCATTGAATTTTAGGAAGTCTTTAATTTCTTTCGTTATTTCTTCCTTAACCCTGAGATGGTGCAATTGTGCGTTGTTCAATTTCCATGAGTTTGTAGGTTTTCTGTACTTTGTGGTGTTGTTGAATTGTAACTTTAAGGCATGGTGGTCTGATAAGATACAGGGGGTTATTCCCATTTTTTTTATACCTGTTGAGGTTTGCTATGTTGCCAACTATGTAGTCGATTTTAGAGAAGGTCCCATGTGGCGCTGAGAAGAAGGTATATTCTTTTGTGTTTGGGTAGAATGTTCTATAGATGTCTATTAAACCCAATTGGGTAATAACTTCTGTTAGTTCCTTTGTCTCTTTGTTGAGTTTCGGTCTGATGTTCCTGTCTAGTGGTGAGAGTGGGGTGTTGAAATCTCCCACTATAAGTGTGTGAGGTCTCATGTTTGATTTGAGTTTTAGTAATGTTTCTTTTACAAATGTAGGTACCCTTGTATTGGGGATATAGATGTTCAGAATTGAGACTTCATCCTGGTGGATTTTTTCCTGTGATGAATATGAAATTACCTTTTTCATCTCTTTTGATTGGTTTTAGTTTGAAGTCTAATTTGTTTGTTACTAGGATAGCTACAATTACCTTGATACCCAAGCCACACAAAGACACAACTAAGAAAGAGAACTACAGACCAATCTCCATCATGAACACTGATGCAAAAATAATAGTAAACCAAATTCAAGAACACATCAGAAAAATCATCCACCATGATCAAGTAGGCTTCATCCCAGGACGCAGGGATTGTTCAACATACAAAAATCAACAAACTGAAAAAGAAAAACCACATGATCATCTCACTTGTTGCGGAAAAAAGCCTTTGACAAAATCCAGCATCCCTTCAGGATAAAGGTCCTGGAGAGATCAGGGATAACTAGAACATACCTGAACATAATAAAAGCAATATATTGTAAACCAACAGCTAACATCAAACTAAACAGAGAGAAACTCAAAGCAATTCCTCTAAAATCAGGAACAAGACAAGACTGTACTCTCTTTCCATATCTGTTCAATATTGTCCTTGAAGTTCTAGCTAGAGCAATAAGACAACAAAGGGAGATCGGGGGACACCAGTTGGAAAGGAAGAGGTCAAACTTTCATTATTTGCAAATGATATGATAGTTACATATGTGACCTGAAAAACTCTACAAGGGAACTCCTACAGCTGATAAGCACCATAAGCAAAGTGGTAGGATACAAGGTTAACTCAAAAGAAATCAGCAGCCCTATTATATACAGATGATAAGTGGGCTGAGAAAGAAATCAGAGAAACATCACACTTTACAATAGCCACAAACCACATAAAATATTTGGGGATAATGCTAACCAAACAAGGGAAAGACCTGTACAGCAAGAACATTGAATCTTTAAAGAAAGAAATCAAAGAAGATACCAGAAAATAAAAGATCTGCCATGCTCTTGGATTGGTAGGATTAGCATAGTAAAAATGGCAATCTTGTCAAAGGCAATCTACAGATTCAAAGCAATTCCCATCAAAATACCAGCACAGAAATTGAAAGAACAATACTCGGCTTCATATGGAAAAACAAAAGACCAGAATAGCCAAAACAACCATGTACAACAAAGGAACTTCAGGAGGTATCACCATCCCTGACTTCAAGCACTATTATAGAGCTATACTCCTGAAAACAGCTTGGTATTGGCACAAAAATAGGCAGGTAGACCAAATGGAATCAAACTGAAAACCCTGATACTAACCCACACAACTATGAACACCTGATTTTTGACAAAGAAGCTAAAATTATACACTGGAAAAAAGACAGCATCTTCAATAAATTGTGCTGGCATAAATGGATGTTGGCCTGTAGAAGACTATCGCCATGCACAAAATTTAAGTCCAAATGGATCAAAGTCCTCAACATAAATCCAGTCACACTGAAACTCTTAGAGGAGAAAGTGAAAGGTAGTTGTGA